ACACCCACCCACACCCACACCCACACCCATCCCACACCCACACCCACCCAATTTGCTAACCATTTTTCTTTGCGTGAATTGTTGTTACAGATGATTTTCTCTATTTCAAGTATTATTACGATATTTTGAAAGCATTTTGAGACAACGAAAAAGATTGAAAGCAAACCTTGTTTAGTCAAAATGTGAAACGTTATTCAACTGTTCACATTTTGGATTGAGATTGTGAATTATTACGTATCGTTAATATGTGTCGGTGATGAGAGATATTGTGACAGATACTTTGAAAGTATGAAAGTAAACAATACCTGATCTATTGAACTTAGTCAAATTTTACAATTTCTTAGTCAACAAGCGGCTCTAAGTTATCTATACTTTATCATCTATTAAATTCTAGCTATTTAATAATAAGCATAATATATTCGGATCTTATAATTCTTTTTGTCTCTGTAAACAAAATAAGTAGTTTTTTTTGTTAAGAAAATAATCAATCAAATGTGACTAATGAAAACTAATGTCGTAGTCCAGCTATTACTATTATTCGTTCCAATAATTGTCCACTACTACAAGTTGAACCATTCTATCGTCTTAAACATTTATCTAATAATAATCGACAAAATCTTTCATCTTCACCAACAAATGATTTTATATCTCAATCATTACCAAATAATCTTCGAAAATTAAATGAGAATAATTCTGATATTTTAAATATCAATACAAATAATAAACAACAAACATCTCATACACATACAGAAGAACCACGAACACCACATTCATGTGCAAAACACGTTGCTCGATTTTATCCAGTTACTAAAGATGCACCTTTTGTTAAACCAGATGCAAAATTTCTCTTTAAACAAATAATAAAATTAAAATTCTTTTTTTTTTCTTGTCTTTAGACACCTGGTCTTAGACGCAAAATACGTCATAGTGAACATCCACCAATAGAAAGTTCAGTTGGTTGGGTTTTTGATTCATGTGGTCATCCAACTACAAAACAACGAAGCAATACAGTGATACTAGTACTACGTAAGATTTTTCAAAATTCTTTGCATTCATTTCAAGCAAACACTTTCAGAAAGATTTCAGATGGGGATGACAAGGTTAGAAATACAGTATTTTTGACCTTTTTTTTCTTAATGACTCTTTGATTTGTTCTACTACCCATTTCAAAATATAATGTGCCTCACTGCTTTTTTTTTTGAAAAACTTTTGATAGGAACATCATAGAGATCTTCGGTTTTCACCATTCAAGAGAGAAGATCCGGAACCTTCGAAAATCCTCGCCAAGAACTTATCCAATTAGCCAATGAAATATTGATGTTTAAAAAACAATAGAGCATACCTTATTTTGAAATGGATAGTAGTTATTATTGTTAAGAAAAGAAGTCAAAAATACTGCGTTTCTAAACGTTTTGCTTTCACTTTACTTATTACAGATAATAAGATCATTTTTCTTATCGCTCAATATGAGTAAGATAAATGGATATAGTAAAAAATAACTTGTGTTGCTTTATCATTGTTTTTTGACGAATTTTCTTATATTTTTTGTTCCTAATACAAACAATTGAATGTTAATTATTATTAGTATAAAATGAGTCTTCTTTTTCTTATTTAGAACTCGACAACAAGATTTCTATGATCAATATTCATCATCATACAATGATTCACATTATTGGCATGGAAATAATTCAAATTCATATGATTTTTATGGTTCAACACCGGTGAAAATTCCTCAATTTCAACATCCATCTCATATACTTGTACAACAAAATGGTTTTACTCAACAAGTTTATCTTAAATATAGACAAGAATGTCTTGATGGTAAAAAAAAAACGTTGATTGTAGAGAAAAAAAAAGATTAGTAGTTCAGTACATATTTACAATATGTCGAGAGAAACAAGCTACTGGTAAAAAAAGGATTGAAATTATATTGCATTGAACGGAAAAAAAACTGAGTCTTTTAATGAATAAAGAACAGTCAACATATCTAAAAACAACAGCGAAAACTACTCTCCGATAAAAATCATAGTCTAGAAAGACCTATATTCTTATTTACATGGCTTTGATTTTGGCAGTTTAATAGCATAATTCACCTTTTGACATATTTTTGTCGTATAATCATAAATTTGAAAAGCAATAAAATAATCTTCAATGATAAAAAACACTCGGCAAACTTTATTATTTCATGGGAAATATTTATAATCTAAGATTATGTTGATTTATAAATAGAATACATTTGTTTTCTTATGATCTAATTTCTAAAGCGTGCTAAACTTGGTCCTGATCAATCAATGGAAATGAACATACTCTATCGTGTTTAGTCATTTTTCTTATGTGAAAATTTTAATCGTCATATGTATAATGAATTTAAACAATATGCTGTTGAAGATGCTAAAACTGATCATCGGTATATAAATGAATTGTTTTTATGAAAAATAATAAGAAAACAATTGAATATTATTATTTATGTATAGATATGGTGTTGAGTGTCTATTTCGATTTTATACATATGGTCTAGAAAAACATTTTCGTCAACATGTATTTGAAGATTTTCAACAAGAAACTCTTTGTGATCATGAAGCTGGTAATAAAATAGATTACAAAAAAAATAAAGTGTCAATAAGAAAATATTTTTTCTATTTAGGTCAATTGTATGGTTTAGAAAACTTCTGGGCATTTTTAAAATATTCTCGACAAAAACCAAAAATTAATTCAAAACTTGAAGAAATTTTAAAAAATTATAAAAATCTTGACGACTTTCGTGTTGATGGTGCATCATTTCCACGACAATTTTTTTCAACAAAATCAAGAATTATAGTAATTGAAAAACATTTTTTTTTGTATGATATAAATAATTTCTTTATAGACTGTTCCAGCACCCGAAGCAATTACTGCTGCAGCAGCAAAGAACAGTGAAACATCAAATTCATTAAAAATCAGTGGTGAACATTTTCCGACACGTAATAATCGTGATCAAGCTCGACAATCGAATCGACGAACAATATCTGAACGGTGCTAAACTTTATACACGTTTTATTTTTATTTTTATTTTTCTATGTATATATTACATTGTTTTGTTATTGTAGTGGATAGATAGATTAAATAGTGATGCATTTTCTTTTTCTATCGATAGAGATATGATGAATTTTCATATGGTTTCATTTTGTTTTTTGAAACTATTTGCTAATAAAAACAAAACAACTAAACAAATTTAATTTGATTATGATTATGCATGCTTTTCTTTCAGAAGAAAAATAAAAGACAATAACTTCATCTCGTTTATTCAATAATATTGGTAAGATATTGAGATAGTATTTTATTTCGATAGAAGAATTTAGTGTTTTAGGAAGAATTGGTATTGGTTTAGCTATTGTTGGTGGTGTGATTAATTCTATGCTTTATAATAGTAAATATAAAAAGATTAAAAGAAAACTTGTTTTCTTTAAATATAAATATATTCTAGTTGATGATGGTCATCGAGCTGTTATTTTTGATCGTTTTCAAGGTGTTAAACTAGATGTTATTGAAGAAGGAACTCATTTTATGATTTCATGGCTTCATAGACCAATTATATTTGATGTTCGTACAAGACCACGATCTGTTCCATCAATAACAGGAGCAAAAGATATAAAAGCTAGAGAAAAACAGTCAACTTCAGGAGATAGGTAAGCATAGGAAACTTCAGTACCGAAAATGTAAACTCGCGAAAAACTGAAGGTAAATACAATGTTTATTGAACTATCAATGAATGTATATGGCTGAGGTATCTTAAAAATTTTGCGGCTATCAATGGTGACTCGCCTGAGGTCTCCATTATTTTCTCTTCGTATAAATGAAAAAAGCATAAATTATATTTTATTATTTACTATTTCAGATTTATAAACAATTAATATAACATTACGTATTCTTTATCGAGCCAGAGCTAAACTTTTACCAAAACTTTTTACAAATATAGGTTTAGATTATGAAGAACGTGTGTTACCATCAATTACTAATGAAATTTTAAAATTTGTTGTAGTAAGTCTCAGATATTTTGTTTTTGTTACTATGAATAATTAAATTGATTATTAGACTCAATTTGATGCTATTCAATTGATTATACAACGTACACTTATTTCCTAACGTGTTAGTGAATTAGTCACAGAATGTGCTGCTCAATTTGGTTTATTACTTGATGATATTTCAATTGTAAGATGCAACAAAAAAGATTCTCGAGTTGATTATATATATATTTTTTTTAAAAATTAGACGCATTTAAGTTTTGGACCTGAATTTACAAGCGCTGTTGAATTAAAACAAGTTGCACAACAAGATATTGAAAAACAACGATTTTGAGTCGAAAAAATAAATGAATAATAATAAAATTTGTATGATTTTTTTGATAAAAAAACAACAGGCTGAACAAAGTCGTCAAGCAAATGTTATTGCAGCAGAAGGTGTTGCTCGTACAGCTGATTTGATTGGCAAAGTTTTAGATGGAACTGGTGATGATAAATTTTCGAATGTCTTTCATTATCTTGTCTTACTTTTGTTTTAATATTCATGTTAGGTTTTTTGTTCGATTAAAAAAAAAGAAGAGCAGATCAAAAATTCTCTAGATGACATTAAAGTTTCGGATACGATTGAAAGGATGAATTTCGATAATCTCTTTCGACATTTTATATTAACTCAATTATTTTTACGTGGTTGGGCAAATTCATTTCATTTCAAGAAATTTTACCTATCGACGTGAAAAAATTGATGTAAGAGGCGAATGTTTAAAACTTGTACCAGCTGAAAATGTACAACAAAATACTGTTGAAATAATTAAGCAAGAAATAAAAAGCAATCAAAATTATACAAATGCTCGATTTCGTTCACCACTTGCCAATTATTTACTACATTTGGTAGAAAATTAAAATCATTTTAATCATTTAATTAATATTATCTTTTTTTCTTTTGTTACATTTATTTGAATAGGTTACACCTCAAGTAGCTACAGCTCATTTTCAACTTGTTTTACCATGTGATCATCGTTTTGGTATTGATTCAATTCCAATAGGTATTTGTTATGCTGAAACAGAGGTAGTCATGATTTTAGTCGACGAAGGCTACTTACTGCAGTTCCTTTAATTAATCAATATCGTATAGGTTCAATTCTTCTTGGAAATTCATACTATGGTTTAAGAAAACCACCAGATCAATCTCGTTCATCATTATTGTATGTTACTGATTTATATATTATGGGTAAAGCACTTGTTTTAGAAACATTTGTATCACTTCATTAGTGTCAAAAAAATGAAATTAACATAAGCTATTCTACATGGTTTTTCTGTTGGTGGACATATGGCTTCATTAGCATTTACAAAGTAAGATTCAATTCTATTATTTGATCTATTTAATGAATGGATATACAGTATCTATCATAATTTTAAATAATGATTCAAGTAGAACACACCATATTACAAAAAGAATATAAATTAAAACCATTGATTATTTGATTCCCAAAGTTAGGATTTTTTTAGACAACCCAAAAGCATAATTTCTCAGTATCTAGTACTTGAACTCTCTAGGATGGTTTTTTATTGAGTAAAAGTTGAATAATTTTGGTAGCCATTGTGTATATATTTATATTTTAGATGGCCTGATCCACCTTGTCGACAATTCTATGAAAATAAAGCCTCTCAAACATTTTATGATTATTTACATGAACGAAATTGATCAATAGATTCAAATAAAATTGTTCTCAATCTTATTAAAGATATGATGCGTCTTCTTGTGGATGAATTTACATCTTTATATAATTATTCACGTTCAGTTCAATCAAATATATCTAATGCTATGTTTATTGCTTGTACACATGATGGTTATGTATTATGTGATGGTATTCCACATATGAATGATGTATGGCCTGGTATTCATATTCGATATATTCCTCATGGACATGTTAGTGCATTTTTATTTAATCAATCAGGCTTTCATCATGCTGCTGCTGCTAAAATGTTACAACAACAAGAACCAAATGTAAAACTAAAAAAACATCTAATCATATCACCAATTTCTATTACTACACCTAAAAATTTGTGAAGATATATATTTTTTTCATATAGATATTCTCTCGAAAAGTATCAAATATTTCCTAGTTTTTGTGTTATGATTTGAATAATAACTAAGAGAAAAGAAAACTTTTGATCAAATATAAACTAGATAAATATATTAATCGTTTTGTTTTTTAAATATAATTTGTATGACTCTGGTAAAAACATGAGCAAACATTTTTTTGTCCTATTTATCAGCAAATAGCTATTGGGAGAACTTCTCCAACTGATATCCTCTGTTCGAGCTCATAAGTAGGACTCATAGTCATAATGAAAATATTAAACATGTTTGTGCTCTTAAGCCTTTCATGATTGTTCTATTAAATTTTCAGCATATTGCAGGATATTAGCAAAAAAAACTGCAATAACGATTCTCAATTTGAAACTTTTTCCAATAACAGATCTCATAACAATTATTACATTCTAAAAGTTTAGCTCAAACGAATGGATCCAAGTCAATCAATCAGACAATGAGATCAATCACAGATTCTTGCACGTTCATACAAGATCGTACAATTTGATTTCACTATATTGTTTGAACCCTTTACAATAACCCACACAGATTAGAGTTCTCTACTTTATAAATTACCATACCATCCATACGCATACATGGCCAACATTTAAATTTCTGGTAGTATAACTGGATACAGATTTATCTATATACCTTTATTCAGAATTGGAACTGGTCTTTATCATTTCTCTTTCTTTTCGCAGATGTGAACGAGAAGGAAAAGAACAGCGTGTGCATTTATATGATCATATCCTTAATATCAAATAAAACTTAGTTATTACTTGAAAAAGAAAATGCATAATGCAAAATAGTTTGTGTTAACAACAGAAGAATTACTTGAATCTTGTATTATAAAAATAACTTTATAAAAAAAAAGAACTATTCTTTTGCTTTATTCGTATCTGAGCATTTCAGATATTCATTCGAGAAATATATTCATTTGTATTTATCAGTTGTGTAGTGAATATAAAGACACAATAAATAAATTTTATTTTGTATTTTCATATAATTTTATAATTATTCGTAGAAGATTAATGAAGAAATGTATCTCTATATAAAATATACTCTATTGGTATTTAATGTGGGGTATGGGTGTGGATATGGGTCTCGTATTTCTCTTCAACCACGCCCACACTCTTTTGCTAATGGAAATATAGAAAGTAATGGATATGTAGGAGGTGGCTGTATGATTGAAGAGGAGTCACTTTCATCCATATCCACACAGTTACTATTAGGTCGTTTCATAGACATATTGTAAAAACATGATGTGATAAACGTATAGATAAATATTGATGGAATTTTAGTTATTCTTAATTTTCAATCCAAACGTTGAATGAATGTTAATTTTCAAAACGTTTATTGATAAATAGGTCATCATTTTTTTATAAATTGAAAAAGATAATGATTTTAACACCTTTCGTTTTTTTACATAAGTAATATTGATCCAAAGCGATCTTCTCGACCAAAAAACGATGTATTATTTTGTAGTCCTGTATTGTATGTTCTGAAAGAAATGATATTGAATATTGAAGTTCT